AATACTTTCCAGATGTGGCAAGTGGATAGGCTTTAAAACAGGGACTTAGATTTTACCTTAAAGACTAGCTCTAACAGGCTTTCCTACTACACTCGTGTGCAATATTGCACGTAGCATGAAGAATATTGGGAGGGAATGTTACAGTGTCTGCAGAAAAGTTTGGTGCTAGTCTTACAGGTTTAAGTTGTTGGAAAGGCCTTGGTGTCTTACAATGGAAAGGCTTCTGCGTATCATACTTTGCTCCTCAGACATAGCATGTAAGTGAACAAGCAGCAAATACAGCTAAGTAGCATCAACCAGCCAGCCCAGTGTCAGTCTTCATGCACTCACTCTAGCCTTTGCAAAGTCACTTGAAGTGCTTCAGCAGCATTCAAGGGACTCAAGCTACTGGCAGACTGCAGCACAAGAAACCAGTCTGGTTGCAGCACCACAGCCCAGCTCTCAGGCCCTTAACTTAAAGCCAGGTGCTGCAGCATGCTTCCTGAACACAGTGCAGTAATTTTTTAACAACAGTTTTACAAGTCAAGTCAACTGGGTTAGCATCTTGCTAAGTCAGTTGAATATGCCTGTGCTGTGCCTCCTACTATCCAGGGTAACTGGCTTTTTTTCCCAGGACCAGCTCCTCCAATATTCCAGATAACAGAAAGTTTCCCTTAACAAGGGCAAACTGCCTTTGTCCTTTTAAATGGTGTTCTTCCTTGTTTCCTGATTTCCGTATCTCATAGTTGTAACGTGTACCAGCTATGTTTATTTTTACATCTCCCCATCCAAAACTGTGTGTGCCATGCACTGAGTAGGTGTGTTACCAGCTCCCAGCACAGTAATCATCTGCTACACCTGATACTGCCTGTCTGGAATTCAGCATATCACTACTAGTAAAGGACCTACTTTTTTGAACTGGCTCATGTGCACCCAGTGTTGAACCGCTTGTTTGCTGGAGGGATTTGCTTTTATATGTGTCTCTTGTAACGTCACTTTTCAAGAACCTCTCTGCCTACACATGTGATTTTAAAAAGAGTACTGAACAGGAGAAGTAGGACGGAGGATTTATACCAGGAAACTCTTAAACTAGGATAAGAAATACTAGAGAAATACTTTATGTAATAACTCAACTGCAGAGCTCAAAGTCATGAGACATCTCCTTAAAAGGCACATGGACAAGGTCAAGGACTTCTCCACAGGCCCAGCTATTCAAGCATTATTTACAAGGAAGTCCAACAGAAGTGGTCAAATTTATGAGCAATACTTGAAGCTGAATCTGTGGTAAAGAAGTCACAAGTTTTGAATATTCCTTGGATGAAGATAGTATCAATTCACTTCCCTGAACTACAGAGCCAGGATGTGAAATGAAATTTTCTGTGTAGCCACATATCATAGTGTAGCAACCACTGGCACCCATACTACAGAGGTGATCCACAAAGTCAGCTCAAGGTAAGTAATACAGAAATAGTTTGTAATTGCTTTGAAAAATACTGTTTGTTCAGCATAGTAGTGGTATATTAGCAGAAATAAAATTTGGCCATCGACCAAGTGAAGATCCATGTAACAAAACCAGCCAAAAGGTCTATCTATGGCTACATCTAGATTACGGTTTTTAGGACTGTTGTATCAACCGACTTAAACAATACAACAACTATCTTGCCTGGAATGAAGAATGATAACAATCAGGACAACCTACAGTAGATAAGTGGACTTCAGAAAAGCTTAGACAAGCTAAAAGTACTCTGTTAAGATCATAGTAGTATGTCAGGGCCACCTTTTAATACAAAAGCAAAATGCATTCAGATTAAACAAACCTATCTGTATTCCTGGTCTAGAAATCTGGAAATGCAGCTACTCAGTAATCTCCACAGACACATAATCAAAATACTCAAGTTTTCCATCTACTCACTCAAGATTTTGTTCATGCATGCAGCCAAAGATCTTCCCAAATAAATGTCATAAATAAATTGTGCTAAAATAGAAGCTATAGTGTGTCCCTCCCACGTTTCCTAGAAACAATATATAAGTATATTGCTAAGTGGCTTTGGTCTACCAAAGTTCAGTCATCTCTCCTGTCATATTTTGCCATATTAAATGTTTAGAATATTAAACAATAACTTAATTCTAACAAGCACTCAGACTTTTTATTTGAATTATAAACTACCTTCTCTTGAGCACACACAGACACCATGTTCGGGACATTACAAAAGACAGAACTGACTCTAGGGTCAATCAAAGTTCCATGAATTTTTACAGCAAGAGGAATAACATATGAAGAAAAATGTCCAAAACTTAACATCCTAATTAAATTATTCTCTGTGATGAGGATCAAAGACCAGTTTAAAATGAGTATTTAGCACACATCTGGAAAATAACTTAATTATGTCAGTCTCCCTGTAGTTTAAAGTAATAGTTTGTTTTCATCAAAACAGCTAGAGATGAGAGAGGGAGCCTATAAACACTAAGACAGGATAAAAGAATGGGAAAAGGGACTAATGAAGTATCAATCAAAAGGAGATAGGCCTTGTAGGACATAACTTACAAATCTGATTTATGTACTTCATCAAATAAAATATAAGGATTCTTATTTCTCTCATTTAGACCTCTAATGACAACACAGACTATTAAATTCATATTGTTTCCACAACCTCCTGGAATTATATGATATAGCCCATTTATTTATTTTGTTTATTCTAAAATTAGCAGAAGAAATAAAATGCAAAGAATTCAAAGAACACGGACAATAATATCCTCACCCAAGATTCTATCAACGTTTATTAGACTAATATTACCAGATGGAGCAAAAAGTTTATTACCAGCTGCAACTGATACCCTAATGAGCCACTGGTTACTGTCCTCTCTCTTTCAAAAAAGTATTAAAACACAATTTCAAGAAGTAACAAGAACCAAAATACTTCAAATGAGTTAAACAATTATTTAGGTTCTGATAAGAAGTTTTAAAATCAAAAAGAAGTTTTAAAAAAGGTGAGTAGGCCAAACCCAGACTTGCTTCTATAAAACTAGAAAGAAACTAGGGGGTCTCTGGCACTCTTGCTAAAACACTTTGCACAAGTAGCCCAGTAAGAATCCCATTACCAAAATGTAGTAGAGCTCTGGGGCCATTTGTTGTTTGTTTTCCCATTGTTAAAGAGAGAAATGCTGCAGAAAGGCGTGAAAACAAGGCAATGATGAAAATGAGGCAAAAAGAATACAGTAAACTCTGAATTTTTACTGCTGCATCAATGTCTAAAGATGCTAAAACACTTAATCTACTAGAAATATAATCAACAACTGGGTCACTTTTTAAAATGACCTAAGATACACATGACTAAAAGGCGCTTAGTATTACTAAGTTTTACAAATGGTATTAAGATATGGCTTTAACCAAACGCTTCAGATGTTAAGAAGTCTGTTTGAGATAGCTACAGGAACCTTCAGTCTGACCAGACACAATCATGCTTATCGCTGTTGAACCAGGCATCTGCTTATTTTACCTAGGGTCTCTAATACAGATCCATTTATCCACCAACTGCGCCCCAACAATTGTTTGTCATTGCCCTTCTGCCCTTGGTTACTGCTCCCAAGACCCAGGGACAGAACAGAACATGGACACACATGTATGTTTCCCCAATGCAACTTATGACACTATCTCATTAACCGCTTAAACCATTGGATCCTGCGCATCAGTGACTGAATCTGTATACATACCTGCTGCTACTGCAGCAGTCACTTCTGCTACAAATGCAGGAACAGTCCGAAGGCACACGGACATCTTAAACTGCCACAGTTGCACACTAGGCGAGCATGTGTCACTGCCACCTAAATATGTGCCTCTAGCCGAGTTTGTCAGTGCCCCTGTACCATCCAAGTCTTGTGAAAAATCACTTTAGGTTAACAGGTGAGTCAGTACAGTGCATGTTGTACTTGTTTTCCTGAATTTTTTTTTAAAAAGTTAAAACATTTACTTTTTGTAGAATGGCATCTTGCCTAGGGTTTTATCCTAGCATAAACATGTTTCTTATGACTACAATTTTCCACTCGTCCTTTTGATGGACTTATCTTGGAAAAACTTTTAAATACCTATCATGGCTTTCCACCAAAAGTATCCACAAGGATACTTTTCACCTCACCTTCTTTCTCACAGAATTATACACAGACACATGCCACCAAAAGGTTGTTCTACAGCATCTACTACTGGGGGCATAAAATAGTAAAAAATCAGGACCTGCAAATCAAGTACAGATTCATCTGCAAAAATATCCCCCCCCTCATTTGGATGCCTCAGACAGAACATAGCTACAGCTAATTAATCTTTCTTAAATGCCAGAATTATTCCCCCCTAGTCCGAGGGTGCTTTCACACCGAGATGTGGATTTTGCGTGAAGCACGGTTAGTCAGCAAAGTTTTGATCTATCATTTGTCCCAGCCTGTTCTGAGGACTGTAGTGCCGAAGTCCATGGCGCAGCCAGTCCAGTTCTTCACCGCCGCTTCTAAGGGCAGCAGATTCTTTGTCCTGTAAAGAAGCTCAGAAGCAAACCTCAACGCCTGTGAAGTCCGTTCAAGTAACGCTGGGGTATGAAATGATTTAGGTATGCTCTAGGTAAAAAACTGAAGTTAAACAGAGCCGGAAACGTATCTGCCTTAAGTCTGTTGTCCCAATGAAGCGGTTTAAACAGTAACCTTCTTTGCATATTAAAAGAGTTATTTATCTGCTCTGATGTATATGTATTCATAGAGAGACGTATATATTTATACCCGCACACAAACACAGAGCCGCGGAGTCGGCCCCGGGCCCGCCGTGCCCGGAGAGGACCGCTCCGCCCCGGCACAGCCCCTCGCCGCCGGCCAGCCCAAGCGGCCAAGCCGGTGAAGCGGCGCCCCCCGACCGCTGCCGAAAGCGCCGGCGTAACGGCC